AAATGGTTCAGGGAAGCAAGAAAAATGGCATATGTTTTTCCTTTCTCTTCCACAGAGAGAAAGATAAGGCAACGATAGACGGGAAAGCGAACATATTACCCAGTATGTTTTTTCTGTCGGGGAGAATTTGTATCTCCGGCAGAGATCTGACACAATCTGTTCCAACTGGAGAGGGAATCCCATTCATTTATCCAGCTGTTTCTTCTGCCCAAAGGAAACGCAAGCACCCTCCCTTGGGGGGGTGGGGCAGGCCAGCCTCCACTGAGCCCTTCCACCTCCCATTTATTTTGCCCACGTAGGCAGGATCTGACCTAATCCCGTGTCTGGCGCCCACCCTCTCCCCTTCCTTTGTTGCATCGCCAGGGCCTCTTCCATTCATCAGAGCTTTTCCGAAGCCTCTTGCAGGAAGAACCCAGTGGGGGCAAATCCGAGCTCTCCTGTCCCAGCTTTCTCTCCCCCACTCGGTTTCCCAGAAACTCCATTATACGTTGGTGGGAGTACAGTGTAGGTGACAAGAGCCCGGTGCCTCCTTCTAGGCAAACAGATGAACACACACACACACATATTAATTGCAGTATTCTCCAGCATGGCTTCTGACCTGAAAACCTGGGCGTGTGCAGGCAGGTCGCCTTTGTTTACTCTCTGATGAGAGATGTGTACTCCGAATATGCTCAGGAGAACCATTGTTTTTTTATTCTCCCCAACCCGGGAGCCCAAAATAGCTTTGGGGACTGAACAGGCTCAGATGAAGACCCGTGTTGTGACTGTGCACAGAGAGGACATCTTTTAGCGATCTCTGCTGCTCTTCTCCTCTCTTCCCCCCCACTTTAAATGTCCCCCCCACCCCATGGCCTCCTATATCCTGCTCGTCTCTTTTCTTGGCGCTGGACCCGCAGCGACTTTTCTTTCCTTCCTCTTTCGAGTGGAGCTTGGGGTGATTTTGTCTTCCTGACGGGGGGGGGGGGGGGGGGGGGGGGGGGGGGGGGGGGGGGGCCGGGTTGGGTGGGGGCCCCCCGCCCTTTGCATCCCCGAGGGCGGGGGGGGGGGGAGGACAGGTTTGGCTGGTGACCCCCAGCTCTTTGCATCCCGAAGGCAGGGTGGAGATGAAGGCTTGATCCCTTGGCTCCGGGAGAGGAGGCTGTTGAAGTGGGAAGGTGGGTGATCCAAAGATGTGTCACTGAGGCATTCAGAAAATTAAACTCAGCGACAGCAACAACGCGCAACGCCCTGTGCATTGGCAGAGGCCGGAGGGGGGGGGGGGGGGGGAATCTGGAATCTCAGGCCACCGCAGCTGCCTGCCTGAGTCACGCAGGTCTGGAGTTCTTCCACTGCCCACTTCAGATATTGCTCCAGCATTTGCAAAGGCCCAGAGAAAAGGAAAAGGGGAGGCGTCTTTGTGCATTCGTGGTTATTTGAAAGGAGGACACAGAGCTCCTGTGGGGCAGTGATGGGGAAGCCGCTGTCATATGCGGAGTGGGAAGAGAAGCCTTGCAAAGCGATCTTGCAAATTCCAGCTTCTGTCACAGTATTTATCCGAGTAGGGGTAGAGGCCAGTAAGACCCCCAACTCCTCCTCCTCCTCCTCCTCCTCCTCAAAGAATCTTTGATTTGGGAGGCACAGGCAGACCTGGGCTTCCTGACCACTCCAGGGCCAGCTTCTGCAGACATGGGCACTGCGTATTCCTCGCTCCATGCCCAGTGCTTCTGCATCTGGGTTTGCAGGTTTATGGAAGTGGATCTGCCAACCTCCCCAAGACACCTTGGTGGAGGGACTCCGGAAACTCCTGAATATTAATGTTGTTCCTTTTAATTAAAAAAAAATAGGGGGGAGGATAGCACTATGGATTTGCAAACGGCAAACCCTGTTTTTCTCTCTTCTGCATTTTCCTTGACATCTCAGCCCCTATTTATTCTGGGGAATGGCATGGGGAGGGCATCTAGCAACCCCTCTGCCTCTTCCCCTGTGCTCCAGAGAGCATTTAGGAGACTTTATTTTTCCTTGCGTCGGAAATAAATTGCAGCCTCAGCTTGCAAATTTCCCAAGCTTGCAGGCTTAGTCGCTGCTGAGGGTGCGTGAGCTTGCAGCCCCGTCTGCCCCATCTCACTTGGAAAAAATGCAGTGGGGCTGGAACGATCCCAATCTAGTTTTGCAGCCTAGGGGAGGGGCACTCCAAACGTTGGTCTTTGACATTTTGGACTGGGAATCCTTTCACTTTCCTTTAAAATTGGGGCGGGTGCTCCCATCTGGGACCTCAGGATGACATCCTGAAGGCGTGCTTTGAGAGGAAGGGGAAGGAACAGGAATCCCCTCAGTTTGAGATTACGTTGAATTCAGATCAACTGCAATGAATACACCCTCCACACCCCCGGACACGTTGACACATGCAAACTTAAATGCGGTGGCGACAGCGGAAGGCGCTCTAGATGCCTCCAAACTTTGGGACATCTCAAGCATTGAAGAAGACCAAGACCTTTGATTGCCCCAAGCTGGGGCAGTTTTGAGGGTGCCTCTCTTCTGGGAGCCCTCCTTTGCCAGCAATGAGGGAGGAGTAATATTTAGTGGGATTTACCCTCTTGCCTTGGGGGTGTCACTCGAAGCCTTCACCCTCTCCTCCCTTTCGCTTCCGTCTCTTTGTGGTGCCACTTGGGGGGGGCTCACCGAATTGAGGGCAGAAGGGGCTAAACCGCGGGTCTGTTGCCAGAGCGAGAGGACGCTATGGACGTGGTGTCTGTTTGGGGCTGAGATTTGTCAGCTGAGTGCCCTTGGCACGGGGAGGAGAGAAAGAGGCGTTCTGTCAATTTCTGTCTCCCCAGTTATCTTCTTGTGCCCAGTGAGTTCCCCCTTCCCGGCCTCTCCCTATTCTACCCCCAAGTCGGTGGCAGTTTCAAGATGGGGACAGCCTGGAGATCACCCCCTGAGCGGCAGAGGGTTTTGAAGCAGAGCGTTTCCCCCCCAGCCTCCCTCAAGCCAGACACCTTCTTGGATCCCCCACCCCAAACCCATTGTTCCCGAACAGTTGCATTCGGGTTTTTTCCAGCAGAGGGCGCCCTTGCTTTGCTGACTCATTCTTGGTAACATCCCTTTGGGCTTCAGCGCCTTGAATGCTGCATTCGCACAGAACATCCGTATACAGCAGTGATGTTGGCGTGGAAATCGGGCTTCAACCCCTACAGGCTTTGTGCAACCAGAGCCGGACCGGTCCCTCAGACGCTCATCCTGGGCCCAGCCTCGGTTCCAAGCCCCTTTTCAAAGCCAAACGCCCAACTAAAGCTTCCAGCACATCCTTGAAGCATTCATGATGGGCAGAAGAATGAGGACTTCTTTATATCTGTCCAAATCGTCCTCCCATCGCTGGACTAAAGCTAAAGCAGAAGGAATGATTGATGAATCCTTTTGAGGAGGGTCACTGTCTGTAGGTCATTATCTCCGTCT